ACAGTGACTCAAAATTGGCAATCGGAGTGCCGGGTTTCAATTTCTGTCGGGTTCGTTATATCGACTTACGCGCAAATACGTTTGGGAAAGATACGAATTCGCCTCTTCTCCCCACCGCCTAGATATGATTTCATTAGTAAAAAATTTACCACTAAATCATTATTTCCGTTATATTTTATTGTCTGGCTTTAAATAACCTGCAAAGTAGTGATAAACCGTAGACAACGAATGAAACATATCTGAGAATATTGTCCTGCATTCAATTCCGTAAAAGACATTAAATATAGGTTTGCAATTCAGTTTCTTTCTTGTTCATGTCTTATACTATTTTCAACTCAATGCAGATGAAAGCGTCATTTACGTCAGAGGGTTAATGAATGTGATTGCTGTAAGGGCTTAAAATGAGGAAAATGTACATAGTTAAAATGATATACATTGGTTGACCCCAAATTTTGCAGAGGTTCATATTGTCCTGATCACGGAAGAAGCCACTCGGGATTTTGTTCTAGAAAATGACAGTTTTGGTTAAGTAGTTGTCTGAATGAACCTTACTCCTTACAAAAGAAATACGAAGCTAACACTGATTATTTTACGCCGTCTACATACCATGTTCCTAGTTGTGGATCTTTACAGGAAATAAAGAATACATAAGATTCTCCAAATGCTCATCAGGTACATGATTTTTTTATTGAATAAGCACAGAGATTCTACGTTACAGCTTTGGAAAATGGCATGAAGCTGAGATGCCAGGTTAGGACAGATAACATTTCAGATTCTTCTTTGGATTTAGTCAAGAAATGCTAGACACATAGCAGAAGCACAGGAACAAATGCGACAGAATATTCAACGGTCGGTTAAATTGAAAACTTATGCATGTGGAAGGTTCTTCCGAGAATGTAGAAAATCACAGGTTTAACAACTATTGTGAAGCTGGGCGTCTACATTTTTAACTAAAATTTCTACGTTAAATTCAAAATCAAATACGACTATATGAGTGCAACGATACTTGAGAAAAATCGGATTTCAACGGGGATTTAATTTAATACTTTTCAAGAAAGTATGCTGACAACACTTACAGACGTAATAAATTAATTATTAGGTGTAGTACGTGCAGTAGCAACATCAATATTATTAATAGCATAAATATTATTACGTTGACAATTTGAAGTAAGACAAGATAAAATAATAGAAAAAGCAAAACAAAAAATAATCTAATTGTTACTCTGAGTCTAGCATCTCTAATCATTTTTAATAATTTCACTCTAAGCATGGCAAAAAAGACACTAATACGCATGCGGATACTGAGTGTGAAAGAATATGGGAAAAGGGAAAAAAATCATTACTAATGATAAAGAGTAACAGAAGAAGGGAAAGAAGAAGATAAATGTTAACAATTGACATTGCATTTAAATCTTTGATGATTAAAATTGGTTGGAAAACAGGAGATCTGAGCTAAGTTCCACAAAAGAAATGTGCGAGATGAGATATTCTAAGGAAGCAAATTCCGGTGACATTTAGCAATTTAAAATCTATAATGATGAGACATAGCCGGCAATCTGGTACTGCATCGAAGTTTGTAATGTTGTGGTACAATCATGGAGGAGTATTTGAAACCAATCATAGAAATTTCATAGGGTCTGTTGCATTTGCGTTTCATAACATTTTAATTACTATCAACGTTGCTTGCCTCATTATATTGCTTTTTTTTGTGAGGACGAAGAAATAATTTAATCAAAATATTTTGTATTACTTTTTCATATCGAAAATGATTAGAATTCATTTCCCATCAGGCATTATCTTAATTTAAACCCGATCAAAATCAGCAATTTCATAATTCGCAGCCTTTAATTTTTTATCAGTCATAATTGCAAAAATCTGAGTATCAGCAGGGCGATTGATATTGCAAGCCCAAATATAACAATTCTTCCAATGGAAATTTTGCAGTCAATGTAGAAACAAATATGATATACATTTTATTCCATGTCAGATATTATTAAGCAAATGTTCTTGACTAAATGTTCTTGACACACATAAAGGGTGTTTCATTAAAACGGATCAAAGTTAGCAGTAATAAATCAGTATTATTCGTGAAAATGTATTTATTTCTCTATTGAATAATTTCCTTAAAGTCAAGGCAGTTATGTGTGAAAAATGATATCGCCCATGATATCGTGACAAATCAGAAAGAAAATGAAAGCAATCATTAGACGATTAAATTTAATTCACATTTAAAATCGGTCCAAGTTATTGGAACACACTTTATATTCATATGATAAATAGGCGGATTCAGTTATATATTTGTAAGCTCTACTTGCAGTAGATAAAGGCTGACATGGCAGATGTCATGATTATATGCCGAGTTCGTGTAATAAACCACATATGCAGACGAAGTGCAGCAAATCAATATGATATCAACGATTTCACACTTGGTTAGAAGACGTATGCAAGATGGTGCCTAGATAGCTTTTCACGGCTCCCTGATATTTCAGGGGCCCAGATCCTACCGACGTATCTGCGTTACAAATTCTCTTGTGTCCAACTTTCCAATTTCACGTGCCACGGTGAGGTATTGTGTTAGGTGTCTCGTTGTTCAGAAATGAAAAATTCAAAAACCAATAAATTAAAAACAAAGAAAAAGAGGAAAAAGTAACCCAAACTCAAAAAAACAATCAAAATCAGACACTCGAGAATAAAAGACAATGATCAAAGACAGAGCAACCATATATATATATATATATATATATATATATATATATATATATAGATAACTAGACTCGTTTTCGAAAAACCCTCGAATTTTAGTTTTGCTAATCAAATCAATCTCGAAAAAAAAGGTTTTAAAAAAAGAAAGAGCTACAAACATGAACTTCTGCCGACAAAAAAATCGCACAGATGCAGGTCTGAAGCCCAAAGAAAAAACCCCGATACGAGTAAAAACTAACTAACAAAAGAGCTCAATACAACCGTAGAGCAGACCTAGATACACCTAGTGAGCCTGGCTCACTAGGTGTATATATATATATATATATATATATATATATATATATATATATATATATATTGAGGGTTCTCCCCTTTTTACACAAATGGACTCACACAGTATATACATATGCTACTGCCAGTGAATACCCGAGAGAGCAAGAGTCGAGCGAATCGAGTCCAGAGTGACAGAGTAAAAGGTTGTAGGTAACCGGAAGTGTGAGAGTGAGGTAACAGCGTTGTAGGAGTCACAGTGAACGAGCACGTAGACTCAGTAAGAATTCATACAGCGATACTTCAATACCAAAGACTTGTTAACAATTCATGACAGTCGTCTTCGAGTATAGAATCCAGAGGTTAGCAGTGAATATTTCGGAGAGAGTAGGAAAGTGTAGTTCAGGTTAGCAGTGGATATCGCAGCAAAGTAGCAGAGCGTAATACTTCCTTCTGTTCATTTTCGCCTGACAAGTTGGCACTGGTCATTCGGGTTGGAAAAACAAAAATGGCCGCCTTTATACACGACGGATAGAATGTTCTGCGTCTTCTGATTGGTTAACCTTCTATTGGTAGACTATAAAGCAAGTAAGGCATTTGGACCAACTCACTACTCATATATATACATACATATACACAAAAAACTGTAACAACACTATCTATCTATATATATATATATATATATATATATATATATATATATATATATATATATATATATTACTACTAACACGTGTTCCTAGAACTACTAACCTGCTTTACCAGTTTGTATTATTACGTTAATACATTATTTTCATATATTCATTCCTGGCGTTTGTTATTTATTGGTACCGGATTTCAACACGGAATCCACAAAAAATATATATATATATACATACACACACTGATAGATAGATAGATAGATAGATAGATAGATAGATAGATAGATGAATAAAAAATAGAAAGATGCTGGTAGTTTTAAATATTTTTTTCGTTTCATTCTTTGCAATTTCGTCCGTATCCATTTTTTCTTTTCTCTCCATCCACTTTTTCGCAAACTCTCCAACATTCTGATCTACCAAGAATGGAGATATATTTAAGAGGCAGGACGCAAATTTACCATGGCTGAACTAGCGATCAAGACAATTTCTGGACATTTTCTTCCCGGTGGATTATTTTTTTCTTTTAGTCAAGGGTACATAACCTTTTTTTTTTTTCTCAAAAAAAATTCTTCAAAAACATTTTGAACCTAACTGCGTCTCTAGTTTGGAGGTGGGGCGTTTAGACGTGGTAACATAGACAAAGCCCAGTCTGATGAAAACCTAACGGATATGACCCGTCACAAGAAATTTTTATATATTTTATAAATACATTTTTCTGATATATAAAATTATATATCTTTATATCATTCATATATATATATATATATATATATATATATATATATATATATATATATATATATATATTATAAATATTGTTTGATGATATATAAAATTATCTATCTTTATATCACACACACACACACACATATATATATATATATGGTAAGAATGAAAACAAAAAATATTATTTCAAAAAATATTTTCAAAATACAGCGTCTCCCATTTTTCCAGTTTGTCATATTTTTCTTTCTATATCTATCTATCTATCTATCTATCTATCTATATATATATATATATATATATATATATATATATATATATATATATAGGTTGGCTCTCTGGATGTTGAACAAACACAAATGTCCCTTAGCGAGTGTCTGCAATAGGGATTATCAAGCCGCCCTGATAGACGTGTATCCTCGAATACAAATGTAGAGCTATATATTTGCGTGCCAGATATATTTATTAAAGTATAATTTATTTATAATTTATTTACTTAATATTTAATTGTTATGTGTGTTGTTCAAAATGGCTCGCTTCTTTTTCTAAATACATTTCAGATCTGTACCTAAATTATTTATTAAGATGTCAAAGATGTCACCGAGTCTCCTCTATCATTTTTCATTATTCATATTTAATTATTTCTTTAATTCCTGAATATTTCGGATAAAAAACTTATTTTGATATGGCTCACAGAATAACATCCAAGGCTCTGAGATCTGGTAACTTAGGTTGCCACTCAGGACCTTTGCCTCATCCCCCACACACACATACACACACACAAACACATATATATATATATATTTACAAACACGACTATATATATGTATACACCCACACCCATATATATATATATAGATACATATATATATATATATATATATATGCAGATATATATATATATATATATATATATATATAGAGAGAGATAGATAGATAGATAGATAGATAGATAGATAGATAGATAGATAGATAGATAGATAGATAGATAGATAGATAGATAGATGCAAAAACATGTATATGCTGATCTGATTTATAAATATAAAAATTAAAGTAAAAATAAATAATAGAAAAAACTTATATATGTGTGTAAATCTGTTTAAAGACACTATTCAACTTTGCTTAGTCATTGACACACTCTGTAGCCGAAGGGTCAAAGCATATCAGATCTAGTGACAGTTTCCCCTAGGGGAACTCGGATTTGAATCTTACTGTAGAGCACATATTTTTCTCTAAGATTTCTCAAATATTCAAGCCGGTAGATGAAAATAAATAAATATACTTTTTAATAAAAAGAGTCTCTACTGAAATATGAGTATCCACTAAAAATAACGTTTAATAAATAGGTTAGTATATATATATATATATATATATATATATATATATATATATATATATATATATATATATATAGTGATATTAAATAAAAAATTAACTAGTTCTAAATTTAAATGTTGTGATGTTTATAATGAAATTCTAACATGTTAAGAATTTGGCATTAGTCCAAACTAACACTCAATTTTTCTGGAGTGTATAAAATTCTTATAATATGATAAGTTCAATAGATTTATCAAATATCTGGCTCTGATGAGTGTTTCAATGCAAAACTCTTGAGCAGATCAACCAGATATGTCACTTGAACTTGATTTATTAAAAATGTATATATATATATATATATATATATATATATATATATATATAGAGAGAGAGAGAGAGAGAGAGATAAAGATAGAGAGAGAGAGGGGATAGAGAGAAAGAATTAATTAGAGAGCTAATAATAAATATATATATTTTTCTGACAGGTATGAATACTCTGAGATTCATGCACAAGGCAATGGTGTGCTGATGTACAGGAAACTCAGAGCTGTCCAGCGTGTGAGGAAATATGTATATTTATTATTAATACAAATTATAACTCCGTTATTATGTGTCGAACACTATTTTATTCAGCACCAGCACACAATGATATTTTTATTTACACACATATATATGTATATATATATATATATATATATATATATATATATATATATATATATATATATATATATATAAGTATATATCACATTTTTGTTAAAACGAATTACAATTATTTGCTTGTGTAACCTGAATGTTATATGTGATATTATACTCTTTTTGTCATGTAAATGATTACCTTTTGAAACTCCACTGTCTATTTTGATAAGATACTCTCATGGAAATTAAAAAAAAACTGATAAATTATTTTTTCACATTTTGCTCCTCTTCCTCATATCTCATAAAATAAATCGTAAATAAATTTCTTTATTTAAATGTTTCGATATTCTGCTTCTCATCTCCTATATGTGTTAAGATCGTAATTTCCGATGGAAGTTCATTTTGATGATTATAATTGTCAATACATGTTGATTTTATTTGTTCTGTATTGAATTTTATTCAAAATAATGCCGGCGTAAATCGATGATTTTGATGACGCCAATATAATTTTATGATAGAAGATTTATGGCATGTATAATTCGCTTATCTTTCTTTTATCTTATTTTAAGTTTTAAAATGCAGGCTGACAATGTTAGAATAGCCTCCCAAAAATACTTTCATTCTATCCCGCCAACAGGAGAAAATCGTGAAATCCATAAAAGTCATCGAATCGATGTAAACAAACATGCGCAAACCTTTTTCTTTCTTTTTTTTTTTCTCAAACAGAACACCTCTTTAGATAACGTGCGAACAAAATGCAATCGGTTTATTTAACAAAAATATTGTGATTTTTGCATGATTATTCAATTTAATACAAAAATAATATTTGCATCAAATTGGATTCAGTGTGTTCATAGCTCGGTTTATATGGCTGATATGAGAACACTTTTTGCATTGATTATTGTCATGTATTGAATTGGAAATTATATGGGGACAATGTTAAGAAATGGGAAACCTTCAGGGAGTTAGCGATCGGAATCTTTATTTCAGTGGATATCATGGAAAAGAAAAGATTAAAAAGTCTTTCTAATAAATAAGGAAATCTGAAGAAGATAAAACAACATTAAATGGGATTTATTTCCCACTTTTCACTTTTTTTTTATGGGATAATGCTATCAGTTTAAAACGTCAGTTATTATTTTTAGGAGAATTCGTACGAATGAATCATGTAACTGAAGGAAAGGAAAATAGAGAAAGGTGTAAATAATGGAAAAAGTGAATGCCCCAATGAAAGAAGGAATAAAGGATATTGATATTACAAAAAAAAGGGAAAAGAATGATGCATTAAGAATGAAAATGAATATAAAATGAAAGTGTAAGAAAAACAATGAGACTCAGAAAGAGAAAACAAGAAAACTAAAACAAAATCATCTTAACCAACAGGAAATATGAATGAAAAGAAATCAAATAAAAAGAAATAAGAAAAAAAAAAAGATGGCAGAAAAATATAAAGAAAGAGACAGAAATAAAAAAAAAGATATAAGCACATAAGTAAAAATGAACGAAATAAATAAGCAAGAAATTTATAAAAGTAACAATAAGAAAAACAAAGACAAAATGGAAAAATCTACTTTATTTCAAGGGCAACAGAGTCGCTTGAATATAAACGTAAAACCCTTTTTGTAAATCAATATTTTCAACATTCTCCTTCAAAGTACTCATGTTGCTTTATTTTAGGCAACGTCATTAAAACACTGCAATGCACAAAGTGCATCGAAGAAAGTCCGTAATGCATTCAATTAGCGCGCTGTTCATATTAGCCGAAATTTTAGGAATTATATATTTCCAATCTGAGCAGCGCGGAAGTTCTTAGCAAAACATCTAATACAAAAAGAGACTCGTGCTTACAATCAGATGGAGACAGTTGAAATTTCTGGGATACATAATGAGCAATTATAGCCCGAAGAATCATTCGCAACATATATGGAAGGCAAGAGAAACAGTCGAAACAACCGAGTAATTTGCTTAACGAGTTTGTGTGATGGAATCGCAGAACAAGAAAAAAGAAGGCTAGTCAAATGTTACTCAGTGCAAACTGTAGGGAACTATGGAAGGAAGGATCGCAAAAAGGTTTATATACGAAACATTGTAGCTGAAGTGCTAAATATAAAATTATTCAGCAAAGTAACAAGCAGATGATGATTACAACAGATACCATCAGTTGAAACAGCGGACGGAGTGAGCTACGCATAGCGGACATGCTACAGAAGGCGCCATTTGGAATTAAAGCAGATTTAGCGGCAATCCTTTGCAGTTTTATAAATATTTCATTATGTGCTGCAAAGGAAGAACATGAAAGCAAGTGTGTAGGTCACTTCCAGGCAATTTAAGACCCACCTTAAACAATTTCACACCATCGAAATTTTCTTCTACTTTGATTTTCTTTCACCTTTAACCAACACTAGCAAAGCCAAATGGCGATAGTAAATGGATGGCAAGAGCATGTTTAAGTGAAACTGGAAAATTCTCTTCCTGAATCTGCAGGTAATGTACCAACAGCTTCATCATAAAGGAAGCGATCAGCAAAGAAAAAAATTAAATTCGTGTATACGAGATAAAGCCGGCGACCTAGATAAATAAATAAGTAAAATCAATTAATCCCAGCCAGTAAATTAATTAAGTAAATAATAAACAAATTAAAAAACTGCGAACACAAGCATAAACACAATTAAACGGAATAATAAAAAATAACAAAATAAAATATAAATAAATAATAAATAAAAAGTTAATAAACAACACTATAAAATCATTGAAAACCTGCATTCGGATCCATACTTATTTCCACTCAATAGCATAAAGAATAATTCTAAACATTGCTGTTAATGCCCACCCAAACAGTTGTTAGAATAATACAATAGGGCTATCCATAATTCACCACACCCCTTTTAAAAGGACTGCGGATCGTCAGACTTTACTTCCTAACAAAAAATGAAAAGAAAATTTATACATTTTTGACGGGCCGTATTAAAAAAATGTAAATTAACGAAGTGTTATTTTGGGGGTTCATAGAGATTAATCATCTTTATGAACCCCCAAAATAACACTTTCAAAGTAAAACAAAATAACAGCGTCTGCTTCTAGCCTTTTTTTACAATGAAAATTAGTGACATCTCTCTTAATTTCCTTCCCTCTTATTCTCTCTATGGGTTTTTTCTTCTCTACCCCTTCGATATCAATATATAACTTCCGTGTAAATGTGTCAAAATCTGCTAGCTCACTCATGTCTTCTCCCTCCCCCGACACTTCCTCACTTCGTTAATTTGCATATGTTTAATACCGCCCGCCAAAAATGTGTATATTTTCTTTTCATTTTTTGTTTGGAAGTAAAGTCTGATGATCCGCAGTCCTTTTAAAAGGGCCGTGGTGAAATAATTTATTACACGGAACCTTAAAGTGGTATGTTTTTATTTAAATTATATATATATATATATATATATATATATATATATATATATATGAATAAAGTAATACAGAAAACAATCTTAGCCGGCATTTTTCGTCCTCTGAATGACTTTATCAAGGCAAATGACGAAACCAAAGGTTCATATAACTATATGAATATTTTTATATGAATATGTTTTTCGAGCTATTCTGAAAATAAGATGAGGAGACACCTTAAATTAAGTGCAAGACATATGTGAATATATAAATAATTTTCGACGTGAACTAAGAATTTTAAAGAAAAGATACAGAAAAGATATAACCGGCTTTTAAAAAGTCACTCATTTTCATTTTTTTCTTTCATCACGCGAAACGTCAGCGGATAAATACTAATTATTCAATCATACAACGAAATACAAGCACACGTATTTTCTTTCTAGGGTTTTGTGACCTGATAAAACCTAGAAAGAAGAAATGCCTTATCAAATCTCCTTCCAATGTAACAGCATTCCATTTGTCATATTTCTTCAAAACTTTGTCGGAATTCTATATCCTACTGTACACTCACGTACATACATACTCTCTCAAAGACATAAATACACATACAGTAATAATGGGAATGTTCACAATGTAAGGATTATGTTAGTACACAAAAGGTGCACATGCAGATCTTAGTGTTCTGATGTTAAGACAAGAAAGAATAACAATATGGCGGATGAGACCTACAAGTGGTCTATCTTATCGGTTAGGAAGAAATCACACCATGCGTATGTTCGATTTTCTATAAATTTGGGGAAGGGATGTCATTCAACTTATTTATTAATTGGAATAAACAGGTAGTTAACTGACAGTTTACTCACGACCCAGAAACCTTTATTTTATGCTGTACATTTCAATTTTCCAAGTAGCCTTTCCGGCGTCCAAGAAATGACAACATCAACTTGAATAAAATACTCATTTCTTATCCGATTTTCTTCAAATATGTCGCAAAAAATGTCACCATTCAAGAAATAAGATTCATGTTCGCTTCCCCGCGTATAACGATAAACCCACAAAAATGCTCGTTTTTCGACCTTAACTCGCAAGTTTTTCATCCGATCCTTTTCGAATTTGCCACGTAAATTACGTATGACAGACACATTGTTATGCGCTAATGTTTGGTTTAGATTATGTCACTGGACAAAACCTGCCCCAAATTAGGTCAAAAATTGTTTTTTGCCATTTAACCAATAGTTTCTTCGTATGATTCCATATTAAATTGTCATTCGAATAACATTTGATGCAAAGATTGTTTGAGAAGGATTATTGAAGCTTCCTAAGACGCAGGCGAAAGTCTTCCCGAAAGGCGCCGGATCCGTAAGTCTGTCTCACTCTTTTGTTGTCCTCAAACAAAACGACGACGCGAACAACGATGAAGGGCCGGCCTTCCGTCGAAAGGGAATCGGGTTAATATTCCCGAACCCGGACTCGGAGAGTGCCCGGTGGTGGCGGCGCTGCTAGCAGCGATGTCAGTGGCGTCTCGTCGATTCTCGGGCGACCCGCGGTGACGCAAGCGAGCCCGGAGACCTCGCCGAGAGCCCCGGGAAGAGTTCTCTCTTCTTCGTAAAGGACCGTGTCCGTGGAATCGGCTCGTCCGGAGATACGGAAAAGGTACCTGTAGAGCGCCGCGGTCCGGTTTTCGCAGCTCTCGAGTCGGTCCGTACCCACCATCCGCAGCAGGTGCAAACGGATGAACGCCCCCTCCTTCTTTGTATGTTTACTGTAAAGCTGGGGTTAATGAGAGCTTTTTCAATATTTTTTTTCCTTTTGAAAGCTTTTTTCCGCAGCACATGAATCAAGCTCTGATGATTTATCTCTGTTTTTGTTTGACTATTAGATTTATAACAATCCAAACTATTTGAAAGTTATTACAGCCTTAGGAAATATACTGGATCTCTAAAACATTGAAACAATTTAACCCCGAGCAACGACAACACAAGAAGATTTTTATCGATGGAAATCCTTTATTAAGATAATTATACACTTGCGAGAGCTATACCGTAAAAAACAAAAAGATGACACGTGGAGTAGCTTCGTATACCAACAGAGGTTTTATTCAAGCAGGGACGGAAGCAGACTTTTCTAGACAGTGGATCCGTTGTATACAGGGGTAGGCGACTATACAATGTGCACTTGGGCAATGCTAGGTACATCGGCTAGTTGTCAATAAAATTTGTATTATATAATGTTATACATTTTGACTGAAATGAAACACAAAGTGATTTAGTCGAAATTTTCAAACACGCATGTGTTCTTTTTCAATGATATGAGAAATAAACCAAGGAATGCTGTTGGTTGGAGCTCTCATTGTGGAAATTGTATTCTCTGAGTAAACCAAAATCTATGTTTAATCCATCCATGTTTGAATTATTTTTGTAAACATATATCAACTCCGATCTGTGACTTTCTTCTCCGATGTTGATTGAAAACGCTAAAAGCACGCATCTTATGTTATAGGTGCAAGGAAATGATTGATTGAAGAGAACTGCGACTGTAAAAAATGTTGTTCTTGTTGTGCTTGCATATTTTCTTTTAATTATTAAAACGAAACTGGATTACATTATCGTTTCTCCACCATAATTTTCTCGTTTGCATTTGTGGCAGAAAATCAGATTTATAAAATGTAAATTGTCACAATTTAGAGCCGGTTGTTTAAATACTTCGTTATGCCAGGGGGTGTGAAATTGCTATCAGTGATGATATGTCTACACACTTGACATCGAGCATTATTGAAGTTGACATACCTTTGGTGGGATGGCGAATTGTATATAGCATATATTACGTGTGTGTATAGGCTGTGGTGTTAGCATCTAGCGTCAAGCGTGTTTTTTCTAATCGTTTGGTCAATTTTTAAATAATGGAAATCTTTTAGTATGATATGGAAAATCTTGTGAATGTTCTAATTAAAAAAAAACAAAAAATCATGGACATTTTGGAATTATTCTTTTTTGTTGTTGCAGGTTAGAAGTATATTGCTATTTTGTTTGGAAGCCTTGGTAATTGACTTTTTGATAGATTAAGTGGGGAATTCCTATTAAGAATGTGATTGAATAGTTGTGCAATGTGTTT